TTTTATATTTTTCTTTCAATCCCAGTTATATTAGTGTTTCAGGTATAACTTGGGGTAATTTGAATTACAAATTTTAATCTCAAGTCTAGAAATCAATTTACTACTCTCTTGGAAAATTGTTCACTGATTGGATTTTGTCCGCTCTGTTGCTTAAGCACTTTAGTTCTCTTGGTTGTAGTAGAAAATCTCCTTTATTTTCTGAAACCTTGTTAATGAATCAAAATGTATTTTTCTTCTTTTCTTTTTGGTAGAAGAATCAACATAGTATGTTAACATATGTTTTTGTTTTTACTAGAAAGAGGGTGACTTGGTGTTGAAAAAGGCTACTGAATATGGTGCTGTCGAAATCTGGATGAATGAGCGTGTTCGAAGAGCTTGTGCAAACAGTTGTGCTGACTTCCTGTACGGCTTTCTTGAGGTCTTACTCCTATTATGATTACTACAATATGAACTAAGGATATCTTTATCTCAAGAAATTTACAATATGAACTATGGATATCTTTATCTCAAGAAATTAAGTGATTTTGTTTATTTTGGTGTTAAGATATGAAAATTTTAGTGTAATTTATTATTTATCTTGTGATTTCAATTTCTGTCATGAAACTAATTGCAGAGTTCTTCAAAGAAAGGAGTTGAATATTGGCTTCTATGGCGATATGAAGGGGAAGCCACCCTTGCAGATCTAATGCAGAGCAAAGAGTTCCCCTATAATGTTGGTATTTCTTCTCTGCAGCATTTTGCAATCCTATAACTTACTGCAGCTAGAATTTTATGAATTCCAGTTATCCTGGATTCACCCTTAAAATATTCATACTAAATTCACGATTTTTACATTTCCAGATTTCTCTTACCCTGCATGTTTTGGCCTTTCCCTTATTTAGTTGTTGCATAGCAGTAAATCATTGCATAGCATAAATTGTCTGTGATGATGATTAGTTTTAATGGACGGAAATTAGATTCCAATATTTGAATTTGTACTGAATCACTATCTTATCCATTTACCTTCACATATGGATAACGTGTAACACATTTTTTAACTGGTGTCTAGAAAGATATGAGGAGGTGCTTGTGCTTGAAATTTGTTATGGCCATTGATGTTTGGCCACAGACTAGGCCACCAAAAACCGATTGGTGATTATAAGAAGGGTTTTTATTAGACTGCAGCTCATATAGGGTCTTAACGTGTAGAGCTTCTGATGGTGTTTGGTTAATAAAGTAAGTTGCTGTGAAAACATAATCGCTTGGAATTTAAAGGGAATGTGTGCTTATAAAGTAGTGTTTGAGGAAGTTTTAAGAGATAACAATGCTTCTGCTGAACCACACTGGTATCTTGGGGTGTGTAAACATAGCTTCTCTGGTGTGCAGCACTTTAGATTGAAATAGTTTTGCTATTAAGAAAGATCTAGGTAATTATTTTTACTTGCTATCTTTATTTATTTAGCTTATTTAGTAGTTTTTAAGTTAGGAGAAACTTGTTATTTGGGTGGATTTTAACTTATATAAAAAGTTTGGTTCCTTGTCGTACCTGTTCTAGTATGAAACAGAAGTTTGTAGAAGAAGGGTACCTGTTCTAGTATGAAAACAGAAGTTTGTAGAAGAAGACTCCATTTCACGGTCAACTATGGTAAAAATCACTTGGTTGACGAAGATGGCCTCTGCTGGTAATTGTTATTGTTCTGAGTAGAAGGCAAAGAGTATTCTTGTAACATAGCCTTTTTCTTCCTGCACCAAGGTTCAGTGTGGCCCTTATGACCACAGAAATCACACTGTCAAGTACTAGTGGCATTAGGGGTGTTACCTTGGTAGGATGAAGGCTGGTATCGGTAGCCTCGGACATGGAAGATTGACTATGTGATGGCAGCTGTTTATGACTATTGATGTTGTGGTGATGGTCTTCCTATTTTATCAGTAGCTTACGGTTGTTGGTGAATTTGACTTCTCAAAGAGGAGAAAGAATCAAGCCCCAACAGGAATTGTAAAAGCTGATCTTTTTGTTGGAGTTGATGGAGTATGTTTGCCATTTCACATATGCACCCACGGGTAGAATTGTAAGTTGAGAGTTCATCCCTTGGGGCTTAGAGATTAGTGTAATACAAGATGATTGAAGTGTTGTTTATTGATGATTGGAGATGGCCCATTGTATCACATAAAGGCGGGCATATTTTGATGGGAGAAATGCTCTTTCAGGTTTGCCAGATGTCAGCAGCATTTGCATGAAGAAATTTCCTTGGAAATATCTTTTGTGACAGCATTAAGGAGTCAGGAAAGAACCATGATGTTATAGCCATTCCAGAGATAAAATTTGGAGTCAGCAGGAGGTTTCATGATTCCCCTATTGAGGAAGCCAGGCTAACCTTTTGGTTCAAAAGCCATGGTGATAGCACGCTTGTATGTAGAGTAGTTGTTACATCTAGAGGTTAGCAACCAAAGT